CTATCGTAGTCTCTTAAAAATGGCACTGCTCACATTCTGTGACCTTGGCGAGAGCATATCTAGTCCCAGCTTAACAATTGCGTGTTTCACTCCTGGTGTTGAAAAAAGGAGAGAAGGGGGAGAGAGACAGAAATAAAAAACTTTCTAGCAACCTCCTCAGCTTGGATTGAAATTTGATAGAAATATGACTGCCATAAGGAACATGCTTTTGTCTTAATTGAAGCCATTGGTTTCAGATAGTTTTTATGGCTACAACGAAGAAAAACTAGCGTAGTATAGACATCACTTGAAGAAAACATCCAAACCCAACTAAGACCATGTAGCAGAGTTTCAGAGTACGACCAGTAAGTGTTTGCAAAGTTTCTGATAGAATTTACAAAACTTTTATTCCAGTAGTAGTGTAAGAGCATTTTCACACAATAAGTTTTGTTACAAGTTTGTGATCACTGACTGAAACTCCAAGACTGATATATTCAGTAGGTGTTGGGGCATTGTGTGGGAAAATTAAGTTCAACAGGTTGGCTCTTATAGCGAGCCTATTGGCCATCATTGTCTTACTGTTTGTTCCCAGCACTTCAGTGAATGTTTTAAAACGCAGGATAATTGATAGGCTGTGGCCAATTGATGACATTTTAAAGTCTCCACTTACCGACCTAGTTATGGGAAATTACGATGAAGATGTCAATACTTGTATATTCATTACATGAGCGATATTCGGTAAAACCAATTGTAAAATATGATCGAAAAATGAACGCACCAATGATAAGGTGAAACGCCCACCACCACGTTAACTTTCCTTGACCTTGTATGACTATACTTTTTTCTATCCACCAATCATAATTTATGTTCACTTTGAAACAATATTCGCCTTGTTGACTCATTTTTTCCTATTCTCTGATTACTGTTCGGTATGTTAATCATGTCTCTGTTTTCCCTACGTTAATAGACTGTACTGTTTATTTTGTATACTAACGGTGTGTAATTTATTGTTTTAGAAACAGATAAAGTTTATCAGGCCAAATAGCTTACTTGTTCTGACTTTGGCTAAAGCAAGACTCTGTATTCGACAGTTTAGAGAATAGCTTAGTTAACCTGTAGGAAATTGTTTCCTACAAAGTTTCGAACAGTAATTTTCAATATACCTACTGAAATGACCTCCATTAAATACTACGATTCCGATGAGATTCCAGAGTTATCACCCCATCATTTGGGAGTTTATGACGAGGATCAACTTGAAAAGAACGAACCCAAAGACAATAGTATGATAGAACTAGAGTTAGCTGGGTTACGCATAACCCAGTTAGAAAAGGAAATTGAACTAGAAAAGTTACGTCGCCAGGGATGTGAAGGTTCTGGCCAATCAGTAAGCAACAGTGAGAATACAATATTAAAAAACCTGTATTTACCAAAAAGAGAAGTCTTAAGATTTGATGGTACACCGACAAATTATTGAAATTTCATTAGAAATTTCGAAGAATGCATTGGGAATGAGAGTATTGGATTTAGAGCTAAGCTAAATTACTTGATTCAATATTGCGACGGAGAAGCGAAAGCAGCTATCCTTCATTGTACTATACTAGAACCAGAGATAGGTTATCGTCAAGCCCTAAAACTTTTAGAGGAAACGTTTGGCCAAAAACACGTTATAGCACGCACGTTTATCGACAACTTGCTAAACTTTCCCATTATAAGAAGGAATCAACCAGATGGTTTGAGAAGACTGTCTCGAGAAATGCAGGCATGTGGTTTGACTCTCGAACAGATGAATTACGTTTCTGATTTGAACTCTTCTAGAACTATCGAAACTATGGTTCTGAAATTACCAACGCACATTCAACAAGAGTGGCTAAAGGTAGCTTATAAGATTATCAGAGGAGGTCGAGAGCCTGTGTTTGCCGATCTTGTTGAGTTTGTAAAGGAACAAGCTGATATAGCTAATACTAGATACGGCCTACTTGTCAATCGCGGTAGTAATAGTGACAATAGAGATGTTGGTGTTTTAAAAGGGAGAATTAGCGGAGATTACAATGCAGCAAGGATATCTTACGCGAGTACTAGTGATGACAATGTTGCCTTACGTAGTTTGTCCTGTTTGGAGTGCTCAAGTAATCATTCTTTAGATCAATGTCAAAAGTTTAAAGACAAGAATGTTAGAGAAAGGAAAGAATTAGTCCTTAGACACAAGTTATGTAATGTTTGTCTGAAGGCAAACCACGTAGCGAAAAATTGTCGATCACCAAAGTCGTGTGATGTTGAAGGGTGCGGCTGGAGACACCATACTCTGTTACACGAGAAGCGGGAAGAACAAAGAAATACTAATGGTGATGCCTACATTAATACTCAGCTTTGTACGGAGGAAGGCGTTAAGTGTATACAGAGACCAGTAGCATTTGCAGTAGTGCCTGTGTGGATAAAAAATGGTGAGAAGATTATTCAGACTTGCGCCTTTCTAGATAGCGGGTCAGACACCTCCCTCATAGTTGGTGATCTAGCTGATAAGTTAGGCCTCGAAGGGAAACCGAAAACGGTATCTTTAAAGACTCTTAGTGATGAATCGTCGTTGGTATCCAAAGAAGTCGATATAGAGTTGCACTCGATGGATTTTTCTTCATCCGTTAAGGTCCAAAAAGTATTGACAGTCAACAAATTGCCGGCAGTTTACAGGACTGTACCAACGGCGCATCAAATGGCATCCTGGCCCCATCTAAAAGACATAAGTTTTCCGAGAGTAGAAGATGAGAACGTCAAACTGTTGATTGGGTGCAATGCACCGGGCATACATGAGATGAAAGAGATAAGAACCGGAAAGACGAATGAACCGTCTGCTGTGAGGACTATATTGGGTTGGACGCTGTTCGGCCCTTACAGAGAACCCCGTGCAAGCAACTGTGTACCGAATTACCTCTCGGCTAAGGAGGAATTAGAAGATAAGTTTGAACAATTGCATTCAACTGAATTCAAAGACCCATTTAGTCGTACTTCATCGATATCTGTGGAAGATCGCATAGCGTCACTAGAATCGTACAAACCACCGGCTAGTCAGACTCATTGCTCCACCGATGCCTCAGAATCTGCATGTGGTGTTGCGGAGTATGCTCGTTCCGAAAATGTCTCTCGTCAAGTTCATTGCTCTTTTTTATTAACCAAGTACAAGGTTTTTAAGCCAAAAAGTGAAGCACTATGTGCTAATAAACCCGAATCAACTCTAGGAAAGCCTAAGGAAGAGACGGACACCAAACTGAAAGTCAAGACTACAAAAAGACCGAAGGCCACTGTAACAAAGAAACCAGTAACTAAGACTCTGAAGAAGCATACAGCACATATTCTCCGTGGTATCGAGGATGGTGTCGAGAAAGGCGCTCTTGTACGAGTTGTGAATAAGACTAAGGGTTCATCTGGTAGCTTTACAGGAACCAATACTATTCTCAGACAGATCAAGTGTAGTTGCAATCAGAATAAGATAGCAAATGTCCTTTTTGAGAGAGGTTGTGGTGTGCGGGAACACATCATAAGATCAATTAGAAGAATCCCAAGAGTGCCTTTATTTCAAAACGTGTTGATCGATGGAGCTCTACAAACGTTCTTGACCGAGGCAGGAAGGATACTAAATAATAGACCTCTAGTTAAAATGACAGACGATCCCGGTATCCTAGAGGCTCTTACTTGGAATAAGTTGTTGATTTATAAAGGATTATCATTCGACGGTGCTTTGGTGGATAAGAAGTTATTATATAATAAAAGATCGAAAGAAGCTCAAAGATTAGCTACCGCATTCTGGAATAGATGGATGAGAGAATATTTACCGACTCTCCAAACAAGAGACAAATGGTTGAACGTACACAAAAACGTACAACCGGGTGGCCCAGTTCTTGTTAGTAGCGTCGAAAGGAGTAGAGGTCTATGGCCTAAAGCTATTGTTGAACAAGTAAGCTATGGTCCTGACGGCCGAGTTCGTACGGCGAAGTTGAGAACCGCAAACGAAGAAATTGTTCGAGATGTACGAAGCTTATGTCTGCTGGAAGAAGCCGGCTATCTAACGGCAACGACGACTCAAAACAATGGACGTGGTGCGCGTTTCGGGGGGAGTGTAAAATATGATCGATAAATGAACGCACCAATGATAAGGTGAAACGCCCACCACCACGTTAACTTTCCTTGACCTTGTATGACTATACTTTTTTCTATCCACCAATCATAATTTATGTTCACTTTGAAACAATATTCGCCTTGTTGACTCATTTTTTCCTATTCTCTGATTACTGTTCGGTATGTTAATCATGTCTCTGTTTTCCCTACGTTAATAGACTGTACTGTTTATTTTGTATACTAACGGTGTGTAATTTATTGTTTTAGAAACAGATAAAGTTTATCAGGCCAAATAGCTTACTTGTTCTGACTTTGGCTAAAGCAAGACTCTGTATTCGACAGTTTAGAGAATAGCTTAGTTAACCTGTAGGAAATTGTTTCCTACACCAATCGTAGACATATGATGGTTACATTTACCTACAGTGATGAATATAACATAGTGTAAACGTTCCCAACACTTTGGGAGAACTATAGTTGACAGAATATCAGATCTCACATATAATATAGAGCCGAAACTCCGATCTTCACTGTACGTTTTGAAATTTTACACAGAGCATTAGTTTATGGAATATCGGGTGTACCAGATTACATTAGTTAGAATGCAGCATGGATTGACCAAATATCTAGAGATCTAAGAAAAGCTATCTGGCTACGGATAGAAATGGAACTAAATAAAACAATAGAAAGCTGAAGAGGGATAAATAAATGCGACAAATCATCAGCTAACTTATTAAATGAGAACTTATTTTGTTCAGTGTTTTGGCAAATAAAATTTCGAGATGGCCCTTGGCAAATAGCCGATGATCCTCGGTAAAGAGATGTGGTGGTCGGTAAAGAGGATAAGGTACGATCTGCAAAAATACGTGAAGTTGGGGCAATGGATGATTTATCTGTGTTAGTCGGAAGGGCCTGTTATGGAGCTATTACAGCTAAAACGGAAAGCTAGTATTGAACAGGGATTGTCAATCACTTCAAAAGAGTAAATGAGGGACAGCTTTGAAAAAAGGAAACTCCTTCCTTAACAGTCGGAGACAGCAAGACATCGTTGCCAAGATAGAGAGGGTTAAAAACATTGACGTGCAGAAGGGCAGGAGCTGCATAGGGCAGGTTGGTTCAGATAATACATTATGTTAACAGACCGGTTACCAAGTAAACATGTACTGAAGATCCCATCAAGAGGAGTTCGGTGCAGTACCTCATTACGAACTCTGCCTATAGCTCTTTCAGGGTTACTGCCCATCTCAAGCACGGATAAAAAAGAAGGGTTGGGTATGCAGTCGGCAATCACAGCTCTGCTTGAAAACCGCTAACCAGAATAAACATACTGTACCATGTAAACTCTGCTCTCTGAGTTGGAGGATCTTCATTCTGAAGAATTATGTGGTCTCATGGTGAAATTCGAGATTCTTCAAAAATCATGATGCCGATTCCCTTCTAGCAATCACAGCAGCAACTCATATAAGTACATGGAATGTCTGGAAAATATGGGAGTGAGAAAGTACAACTTGGCAGTAATTCGAATCAATGAAGCACGTTGGAATCAAGCTGGTTAGATTTGGGAGATGTTGTTGTGCTCTAGTCATGAGGAAGAGATTGCTCCGCACACTCAGGAGTTGCTCAGACGCTTTCCAATGAAGCACGTAAAGCACGTGTAGGATAAGAATCTCCTGGATACAGTATCATCAAAGCATCCTTCAAAACAAAGAAGGAAAGAATGCTATCCACTCTCATGCACCTTTCGCGGCGACGGGTACCCCTTGTTCTATGGACAGAAGAAATCCGACGAGTAGCCAATAGGTCTTTATTTAGATCGTGTAACAGCACACAGTGGAGCGGTAGGTTACCTTTGCAAACACACAAAGCTTTTCGAAGTCCGATGTAAAATAATAGAAAATATAATCCCCATACAAAGTAAGGGACTTAATGAATACTTTAATGGTCTGACATTTACTTAGAAATTTTGGTCAACTCTTAACTATTCAACCTACGTTTTTACTCTAGCTTCCTCCTAGAGTCGACTTCCATGGGAATGCCAGTTCGATCAGCTTACCCGACAAAACGCATCAATTCTGTTTCCACAGCCTAAAGGAGAATTACCGATTCGTTCAACGTCTGAATTTCAATCAATGACGACCAACGCCCTGCCAGTATTCGGCGATAATTAATCGATGTCATATACCCGACTACCTTGTTATCTTACCCCGTAACATTTAATTTCTTCGAAAAATTAAAGCCCATGACTTGCTAAATGTGTCCTATGCATTAGGATCTGAGCTTGTATGACAAATTAGGGTAAGAAATCGAAACAAGAACGTCTGAGGAAGTGCCAAGAGCGGGCTACCCAACACCATACTGGTGAGGTGTAACTTTCTCTTGCTCTGTACGGCTATCAGGTATTTACACACCGGCCACTTGAGTCGCCGTCAATTGAAAAATAAGGAAGAATCCACTCCAGTAAAAAGCAACCATAGTCATTCAAACCTGAAAAATTTCTTCACTGTTCACACAAAATAATCATGTACAAAAAGGAACTGTACAATCATATCTGATAAATGTTCGGTTCCATATAAGTGTTTGGTTTACAGAACGCATCAACAATCTGATTTATTGTCGGAATTCGTCCCTATTACGAGGGATCTATGGTATGCATTCACGGGGATTCTGTTTGGTACTTTCATACAATTTTTTACTGTCTTCTGCTGACGGAAAAATCTTGAATAATGATTAGTTCCACAGGTGATGCCTGCTCACACCACCCGCCTCAATGGAAGACTTGTAGTGGCATTGGGCCATAACCACACAATCCTCAAAGTTGAACACGAGACAACTAGGGAAATAGATATTCAACATTTAACGCGGAGAAAAACCCAAAGATGAAGAAGGCGGGAATAATGAATTTGATTAATTAATTAATCGGGTGGCATGGTTCAGCCTCGCAGTACTGGTCGCTCTGAACAACTTACTTTTACTCATAATAAATATATTGTTCTATCTCCAGTCTGAATGTGTTCTTCATCATGTATTGATGATCGATCAGGTAGACAATCATGTGACTTCCATGTAAGATCTTATATGTAAAGCAGTTACTTCATAACAAATCTACAGATTTAGGATTAGATCTATAATAGAGCAGCACTGATAGTGAAGTAGACCGTAATTCTACGATGCTTTTGCGGTCACACCTTACCCATACATATGTGCAACTGTTTAGATCCCTGGATACTTATGTAGTTCGCGCCTCTTCACGATTATTCATTTGTTTAAGTTTGGATATTTGACCCCGTAGTCGGTCCATATAATCTTCTAAATCAGGCTTTTTACTGTCAGTATGAAGAGTGACAAACTCATCCTGTTGTTTCAGAGACGTCCAGGAGACTTTTTCTGCTGCCAAACACTGTGAGTCAGTTTTGACAGCTGTTCTTATTTCCATCACAACTAATAGGAGGAATTCTGCCCACTGACTGGGGTTTCAGCATGATATTACAGCAGCCTCTGGCCGACTATGTAAACGTTACACCATCCCATTAACTTGAGGATGATATCCATTTCAATGTGTTTTGTTGGAGTTTATGAGTTGAGATAACCTTTTGAATAGCTCAGATTTAAATTAGTCTCCTCCATCCGTCGTTACTGTAATATATGTACCAGAGATTTTCACCCAGTTCTGAATAAAAGTTTTGGTTACTATTTCAGCTGTGAGTCATTTATCGGTATGGCTATTAGTAACCTCGTGAATCTTTCTATGCATGTGAATAGATAAGTAAAATCATTGTAACGCGGCAAGGGACCTAAAAAATTGATATGAACATGGGCAAAATGTGCATCTGGCTGTGAGAAAACTCTGATGGGTGAATTCGTTGACGGTTAACTTTTGACTCTTGGTACGCCGAACGCTCTTGAACCCATTTGTGTACCTCTTTTTGTAAATTTGGCCATATATACTGGCATTGATTAGTTTAATATAAGCTTTTGCGCCAGGATGAGACAAAGTATGATAGTTATCAAATATTAATTTTCGCATACATCTGGGAACGAAAGGTCGCGGAGTCGTCTTGGTCATACCACAGTGAATCGGTATGCCTCCAGTAATTGGTGATAGCTGCCTTGGTTTGAGACTGTAGTGTATTCTGTAAGTAGGTTTCTGAAATCTTGATCCTCTTTCTGGTTGTCTCGCAACGCCTCGAAGTTTACTGTACATTGTTGAATTATGTTCACTTCTAGCTGAGGAAACGCATCTGTCGCTTGATTGTCCCAACCAGTGACATGTCGGATATCCTTAGGAACTGTGATATATAGTCAAGGTGTCGGATTTTTTGAGGGGAATATTTGTCAGCACTAGCTTTTAATGCATTGGTTAGTGCTTTATAATCAGTACAAACTATGAATTCCCTACCTTCCAACATGTTTCAGGAATGCTTAGTAGTCAGATAGATTGCGAGAAGTTCTCGTTCCAAGGTAGAATAATTCCTCTCTGCTAGAGCGAGTCCTTTTGAGAAGAACGCAATCAATTTTCAGAAGTTTTTAACCAGTTGGCTAAGGGTACTGCCTACTGCTTTGTCCGAAGCGTTCACCATCAAAGCAAATCGGGAGTGGGAATTTGGATGTTTGGGCCAGTTTATCAGTTAGCTGTTCAGTAGCCTCAACAGCTTCGGTAGTTAGTTTAGATTTTGATGGAGTTTTGTTCTCTGAGCTTGATGTTTTGATCGTGGAGCTTCTGTCGTTCTTCTGAACGACATCATCAGCACAAACTTCAGGTAAAAGTGAAGTGTTCGAATTTCTCAACATGTGGTTCACAGCTTGTCCTGTACATCCGCCTGAACTACAAATCTTCTTCTTCGTCTTAGTTTTAATTCTTTTCAATAGCTGAAATCATTGTTCCCGCCTTCTACATCGTTAGGCATTTCTCCGTGTCAAATATTAAATATCTATTTTTCCTAGTTGTCTCGTGTTCAGCTTTGAGGATTGTATGGTTATGGCTCAATGCCACTACATAACCACAAATCTTTGAAATGATTGTTTCGGGTTCCTCAGGCCGAAGAGCATGCCTAAAAACTCGAACAGACGGTGTAGTATTAGCTGTCTGATGGACACCTTCAGCTACTGAGGTATTATGATATGTCCTGGCCAAGTCAATTTCAGTTACTGTGTTCATACCATGTAATCTGTTTGTAAAATGTTGGGTATGAGATACTGGGTACTCAACTTTTACGGTCTGATGAGTAAAGGTTCTGTTTAGCTAGGTTTCAAAGTTCCGCGGGTATATCAAATTAAGGGAGGTGATGTGACTCTTTGCCTTCCGTGTAACTCGAAGTTTCTTCCAGTGTCAAACACCGTTTTCTAGTGTCGACCATAGGTTCATACCTCTCTGAAAATTCCACTCCAAGTATTACAAGATCTAAATCGGCTACAGTGCAAACCCAAGAGAATTGCCTTCTAAATTCCAAATCCAGTGTCAAAGTTTTCTGTTCAAACGTCGCGATTTTAGCTCTGTTGACCGCTTGAAGTGTAACTGGAGGAAGTTTCTCTATCCAACTCAGTTTTGTCCTTAGGAATACTACCAAGAGCAGCACCAGTATCCACAGAAAATTTCAAGCCTAAATTTCTGTTTCTAACACAAAACGAGCAACTGTTTAGGCACCCCTCCTCAGTCATAGTAACCTGGGGAGGGGTTGTCTGTTTCCAATATATATATATATATATTTATGTATATATATATATAGTAGTCTATTGAGGCCAGATGCATAGTCGACTGCACCTAGTTGATTCGACATCAAACTTCCAATGATTCCGATAGAACTGCGCAGATTGTCACGACATTTGTGACCTGTTTCTGTGGCTTGGATCTCGTTCATTGTGGTAACCTGCCCCAGTCTCTATGACACATTTACATTTTGGTGACAGTCTCTGTGAGACTTTTAACACTCACAAAAAGTCCTGCTATGGCTGAGTCTTTTGATGATTTTTCTTTTTTGCACGACGTGTTGTGCGAGATCCAGTTGGTGGACCTCTTTCCATTATTCCATCGACAATACGCGCTGAGATAAATATGTGTCAGGGTTTTGTACATCCAAACAGTGTACGACATAGTATTCTTCATCCACTGTATGGTCCCCCATTAAGACTTGAATGTAACTTAAAAATTGTGGTGGTGACCTACCACCTAACGTTTCTCTCTGGAAAACTAATTTGTTTAAAATGCGAAATCACACAGTGGCATAATGAAATATAGAAACCAGATATTAAATGTATTGTGTGCACAGCTATTTTGCGTTGTCCTTTACGTACTTCACTGTTTCTCTTGTTTTTCCAGTATTTTGACTGCTTTACAACTTTCTTCTTGTTCTGATTTTAGTCTTCTGCCTGCAGATATTCTACTTCTGATTGCTGGTACGTACTACTTAAATTTTTCAGCATAAGTTGCGCGTGTCACAGTACCATAACCTCACCACTACACTTCGGAGGTAGAGATAAATGAACTCACAAATATCTAACATAAAAACTAAGATCGGTGTGGTCGAACAGCTAAACTACCACTTATTGGGTATTGTCAAAGACCTGGAACTGTACCAGATTAACAAGTGATGTAAAAAATCAATAGACTCGCCTTCAAGATATCAGGTACTAGAAATTTACCACTTATGACACAAAAGATTGTTTTTCTTACCAAAACTGGCGAAAGCCACACCAAAATCGTAGTGAGAGCTACAAACATCACATACCACAGTATTTAGTGAGGTAACCTTGAAGCATATTTTTGGCCACTTCAACAGTAGAACCTTCCACCTAATCTTGAACAGCTTTATTCAACCCCATTTAAAGCAAGAAAATATAGTGTTTCTCCCCTTGCTTCAAAAGGATAAGTATACATTAGAACCTATTCAGCGGCGAACCAAGAAGTCACGCGAATTCAAACCTTATTATGAGCTCCTCAAGTGACTGAACCCTTACGCATTAGAATATAGGCATCTCATAGATGACCTCCCAAATGACTTACAGAATCTCATATACTTCTGAGCATCCATTTAAATACCCACATAAGCTCATTCCCAATATAAACCTTAAGAGTAGCACCCGGAAATTGGAGACATAACATAGCAGAACGAACCGTAGGCACACCTTTTACTCTTGACGTGTAGTCAGATTTTGGAATTTATTGCCTGGTGAGCTGAACCAAGCAACTTTTCTCTCAAGAGGAAGCTTGACATGTCCTTAAAGAATGAAGACAATACCCCATAATTATGTACCAATATATTTTTCTTTTGTCGCTAAATAGACCTAGGTTCCTGCCTGGAGGTATCGGTGATCAACTGCTGCTAGATAAGGAAGCCTGCCAAGCGAAGGCTTCGTCTCTTCTGTCTAGAATCATTTGAAGTATTTTGAGCTTTTAAAAAGTGACTGCTTTTTGTTAATCTATCCTACAAAGGTCATACAAAGCTCGTCTTTCAAATCCTGTGCGTGCTAACGATTTTGGAACCATAGTAAGACTTTCCTAGATTTCTTAAAGGCAAAGCTGAATTATAAGAGTAATCATTAGCAACTCACTAAACGACCATAACAAGTTCGTGGCATGTTTAGTCACCAGGAAAATAACTAATATGTATGAAAAACTTATAATGCTGGGATTAAGATCCAGGGTTTGGGTTTTCATAACGAATTGACACTATGATGTACATTGCTGTGGTATATCCTCACGTATACCTGGTGTCAGTTCATGATGACCTTAAACGTGTTTCGAAACCAACAAGTGGTTGAAATAGCGAGAGGTTGTTTTTGAACTGCTCCAGGTCCATAAATATTAGTGTATGAGTCATTTTAGTAGGGAAAGTGTCAGGATGCTTGTTGTTATAACTGAGGAAGCAGATTCCAAAGTAACTTCACTGATGACTTTTAATTCGTATAGTTTACAGACAATATCGAGATCAAGCATTTGAAAATATACACATTCTTGCATAAACTAGTAATCGGCAAAAGAATTAACGAATATGGAGGAACCTAAAGACTAATAAATTAAGCTGCGTAAGTGGATTGCTAATTCAACAGCGGCAGCCAGACCATAATTTGTGGAAAAACTTGTCAGATTTTAGCTGTCTGGGATTTAGGTGTGAAGATCATTCAACCACATGGCTAAATAGCATTTTGGCACCACAGTCGATGTTAGGTAACACCCATCTGGTAATTCTAATTATAGTTCACCACTAATTTATACCCTTAGGAAGTGAGTAGACATTCTCAAGATCACTTGAGCACTGCTTAAAAGTCGTCCATAATCTGGTCTCACCGATCTTTTGATCAGATTGCTACTCGAGACAGCGATGTTTGGAAAAGCAAATGTCACTGTCCATTTAGATGTTTCGTCAGACCTACGCAGTTTGGTTGCGGCTTATATGTTCCGCTTTCGGTACCAGGGCAAGGCAAATCATTTCGACGATTCTGAGTTATAAACAAGGGGATCCGGACTTACTAAATGTCTAGAAGATGAAACATTTATTCAAAAGTGATAAACTGGTTGGGATCAGTACAATTGAATTCTTCGTAAACCTGGTTAGCAGCAAGCATAGAGAACTTTGTATTCGGTTTCACCTGTAAATCACCACTTTGGGGTCAGTAATACTAATAAATCAACAACACGGAAAGATAATCATAAAATAGTGCGGGGAGACTATAACTTGTGGACAAACCAATCAGATTTACGACAACAGGTCTTGAATTCTTAACCGTAGCTATCGATTGTAAATGTCAACCCTAATTCCTTAAACTGGTTTATAACCCTCATTTAACCATAGTATGTTGGTGGGCATTCTCGAGGTCTCTTTAGCGTCGCCCAAAGGCCATCCATAAATAAGTCTCACCAGTAACGCCAAAAGTCACTGATGTTAATTAAGAGACCCACTGTCCTGGTGGTGAATATAGACGTTTCCCATCCTATGCGATCGAGGAAGTATGTGATATATCAGGTAACCTAGAACAGACTATGCATTCTGTGCATTTTTGTTTGTTTGTAACTACGGTATGCCTCTGAGATGTCAAGAAAAGATTCTATATGATCAGTATTCTCGCTTTGTGTCAATAACATCTAGAATGTTTTAGTTTCGCGAAACTCTACATACAATAAAATTCTTAATATAGTTAAAGACGGGTGACAAAATGGTCAAATACTGCGAAATTCTGATTATTCTAACTTAAGTAAATTTGTCTAATCAGTAATAATTATCGATCATTTTCTCGGGAATGTTCTTTTCTTATCTAAGATGTCATCAAAACGTGGTAAATATGAGCGTAGAATTCGATCGGCTAAACTAAGAGCAAGATCAGAACTTGGCGATTCGCCACATAGTTGGTATTCTTGTAAATATGCGGATAACTTCAACTTGTCTCTAAGTACTGTCCATGATTGTTGTCCACGTATTGATGCTTGCCAAGTTGCTTATGAAGAATTCGTAGCTGAATATGAACGTCCTTACCAGCCTGTCGTAATTCAAAACGCCCAAACAGATTGGAAGGCTGATGAAAATTGGACACTAAAGGTATTTGGTTTGTATTGTGTAGACTATCTTATATTCTAGCTTTTGGATAAAAAGTATCACAATGAGAGGTTCAAATGTGGTGAAGATGATAAAGGTTGTTCTGTTAAATTAAAAATGAAGTATTTTATTCGATATATGAAGGAAAACGAAGATGATAGTCCGTTGTATATATTTGATGCGAACTATGGAGAAGCAAGTGCGACTTATTTGTTTGGTTTACTATTAATAGCATTCAAGGCGTAAAAAGTTATTAAATGATTATATGATATGTCGGTATTTCAAAGAAGATTTATTTTCTCTGGGTGGAGAGAAAACGCGACCTCCTTATAGGTAGGTTTATCTTGTACGTTGTAGTTAAATTACACAATCTGATTAACCATAACTGCATGGTAAATCTATTGATTTGAGCGGACACCCACTTCTTTATAACCATTAATTTAACAAGTTGTTTGTTTTTTTCTAAACGAAGGCTTATTTAAAGAACAAACAATGTAGCTCAACCGGATTGAAAAAGATAACAAGCGGTCAACTTTGTCAGTAAATTTCCGCTGACCATGAAGAATGTACTACTTTAGTACGTTGTTAGATTCTGTCCTTAGAGTTTTACATTGATCTCATGGTCCTTTAGCTGCTTTCTTTCTGTAACAAACCTGAAATTGATTATGCTACATATTATTTATTTATTTATTTGAACACATAAATATTGGTACATAACACTGACTTCAATGATATTGCTCGGCAGTAGTAGGTTACCACATTCGTACAAACTGTTACTAAAAACTGGAAGTTTGCTTTCTTAATCATTGTCATAAAACTATTTTAACCTTTTGTATCCAGATGGTTTGTAATGGGTCCGCCACGTTCTGGCACGGGTATACATATTGATCCTCTTGGAACTAGTGCTTGGAATGCATTAGTAAAAGGATACAAAAGGTAAGTACTCCGATTGATGTACTTTTGATCCAGAATGATTGATTTTACTTTGTTTCCGACTATGAGTATAGTTGAAGAACTTTATGAGCGTATTCCTATCAATTATAAAATGGTAAATTAATCAAATCAAACACCAAGCTTTAGTTTTCTTAAAAGCTAAATGTTGATTAAGAACAGGTACACAGGTCAAAATGACCATCCTTATCATTGTTATAAGCACTTACACTATTCCTAATACGTAAATATAAGAACATATAAATGATTACTAAAGTATATTTATTTCATTTTATGCACAGAATTCTTCTTTACTGTGAATCGCTTTCAAACTGCTAATGTTAGTTGATCAGTGGGACCACCCATGTTACCTGTAGAATAACAGTACTTTCACACTAAATCAATAGAACCAGAGTATTTAACCAAAAGTTGAATTTGTAACTAGACTAATTCTGAGAATCATTATTATTTACAGATCATTTTAAGTTCATTTTACAGTATCCGTATCTCTGTCCTTAACACTACTTGAAGCTTTTAGAAGCATGATTAACTCTATTAGTTTTACTTTAAGCAAAATAACCTCAACTGTTTTTTGAGGGGAGTATTTAGAAAGTGTTCCAATGAATTAAATATCCCTACGCTTACTTAATGAACATCTCGTCAGCTTTTTGTCGAAAGATATATATATATATATATATATATATATATATATATATATCAACAATTGTGTTAGTAAATAATATGTTGTTATTGTTGAAAAAGGTACAGAGTGGCAGAAGTTGGGGAGAATACTTGCCCCCTCGTTTAAATAGTAGCAGTACTTTGTGTAAATTGTACCGAACAAATAGTCATTCTCGTCAGCTTTTAAATTGATCAAGGATCATCACATTTAGTTTATTTTAAAGGGATTTCATTGTTATCTCACGTCAATTAAAATCGTTCACTCTCAATGTCTATTTCTTTTTGTTTTAAGCTTATTTCAAAATTAGTATTAACTATAATCCCTTTTAGGTGGTGTTTGTTTCCGCCACGAACTCCAAAAGAACTGGTTAAACCAAAACCGTCTGATGGTGGCAAGAATCGGAACGAAGCCATCTCTTGGTTCGTGTATGTATATCCACGCACACAAGCATCTGACTGGCCATCGGAGTACGCCCCTCTTGAAATACTTCAATGTCCTGGAGAGACGGTCTTCGTTCCTGGTGGTTGGTGGCATGTTGTTCTTAATTTAACTAACACCATTGCTGTTACGCAAAACTTTTGCAGGTTAGCTATGATACTCATCTGAAAAGTTTGTAAAGGTTATATATTTGTTTGGTCGATAGTTCATAATGTGATTTTCTAAATACTAGATTATCCAGAGCTATATGATGCACATCAAGACTACATGTTTTGATGACTGGTGATAACTCACCTTTCTGTGGTGTAAATCTCCTTAACCAGTATGACAAAGAACTTGCTATTTTTATCCTGTTCGCTTTAAATGCTATATTCTCATATCAAAAACTAACAAGCAAATTATAAGTAGCTTTGTGAATTAAACACACTTAATTGCCAATGCAGCCTAGTTATGTAAAATGTTCTTACGAAGTTTGGTTTAGGAATTTTGTGTCCGGCATTTTGACCGTGTTGGATACGAAGGGTCCACCTAGAGGAGTTGGAAAATTCTGATTCCAAACCAATGGTGTACATAAGCCCCAGGATCACGAGGAAACAAACGGCGTGTGAACCTATTGTTGATCACCGGCTACCATGGGACTGCATCTCCTGACGTTGCTCCACTACCTTGTGGATTAGACCTTTAGGTCTAAGGCTCCGAGTGTAGTCCCCTAAGAAAACCACCTGCTTCAATTTGAGCACCCGGCAGTATCACAACCCTCACACAAATCAATGATAACTGCTACTGGCCTCATTGTTATTGTGTGGCGCATATGTATTTTGTGCTCCTTTGTACCAATGTTTATATGTTCAAATAAATAAATTCTGTGTCAACGGCCGCTAAATTTTTCTTTCCTAACAATTTTAGTTCTATTAACTTTCCTATTGTGTGGCACAAAACTGCACGGAAAAGACCAAAATTTGCTAAAAGGTGGTTAGCTGCTCTCAGAATTAATCGACCTGATTTAGCGAAGATCGCAGACAACATAAATCTCTCTGAGCACTTTCCGGATGTCCCTTCATCTTCATCATCATCTTGTTCATCCTCATCTTCTTCACGTTCGTCTTCATATTGCTCAACATGCACTTCTACAAATCAGTCTCCCGAAAAGATGCATCAATCTAATACGTAAGTCACATACTTTGTCTTATGTCTTATATCAAGTAACTATCTCGCTTAATAATTGACTGACTTCTGATCAATTGAACCTTAGTTAAACTGTGCTTGGATCACATAATTATTGTTTATTTTTCAGTTAATTAATACCTTTTTAATCGTAACAATGCATCACTCACTATGCATACATTGTAGTTCGTATACTCATGACGTATATTTGATTTACAAAGAATATAGATGAATCGATAACTATTTCTTTCATGTAGAAACACCAATGATTGTAGTTTTACAGTATATGACAAAAATATCCATTTCTTGGAGCTATGGATTGATGTAAACCAATGATGTATATTGGTTTCAGCATCATGCCTAGGCAAAAACGTTTATTCTAGAATAATTCTCACCATTAACTAAGTTTCGCTAAAAAAACTGGCTGGGTCATCAATATCTTCGGCTGAAGAACATTTATCTGAATCAAAATGCTTATCCAGTGCCGTTGAGATCAGTGACTTAATGATGAATAAACCCATCTTTCAACAATTAAGTAACAGATTCTAATGCCAGATAACTCAAAGCCATATGGCTTAGTTAATATAAGTCTGTGATGACAATTACCTTCAAATAGTATAAAATGTTCACAAAATCATGAGATTTTTACATTTATTGAGAATATTTGTAGTATTCATTTGCATAATTAAAAAATAAGAAATACACGAAAATTAGTACATAGGAACGACCGTTTGTTAAAAATTTTATCTTAATTTTTTGACTGTATGATACAAGTTCTTCGTAATATTCCTCTACTTTACATTTAAAAAATCTTTGGAGTCTTTACCTGAAAACAGTGTATTTTGTTGTTTATGTGAAAATATATGATTTAAGTAGTGTATTATCTTTGTTTATTATTTTAGCAGGTCCGGGCTACATTCAATTTCACGGTCACCAACTCCAAAGCGTAGACGATGACAATGTGGGTATATCAAAATAAATGAGGGACGTTTTTGTCAGGGACTAGTTTTACTTCTTTTGTTTTTATATATACTCATATCAGCCAAGGACATATTTTTAAAATAAAACTTATATTCCTTACATAATTATTTTACTCATTGCAAGTGATAATCAGAAATATCTTTGTTGTAAAGTCCTCATTATTCTAATTCCCAATGAAATATTACAACGCGATTTGATAAAGCCTAAAGTCAGCGTATTTGTAAATGACTTTAAGATCACTTGTAATGTTATCTTAGCGTCATTACGAAGAAAAGAAATTAACATGGTGAAAAGCAAAAGAATTGGATTCAAAACCCCCATCAACAACTGTATACAAACAAAGATGAAATATAAAAATAGTAATTCAGATTGACACCTCACAGGATATTATATTTAACTAAGGGTAACAGTATTTCGAAGTAGCCTTGAAATCCTAGAACCGTACATCAATTGAAAGTGATTCTACCTTTATCGTCTACATCAAAAATACTATGCATTATTCAACACTATTTCTATCAGGGGAAAGGTCAGACCTTTATGAAGGTTAATAATAGGTTAAAAAAGTACTGGTGATCCATTATGACAGGAAATTATCCTAAACTCATTGGGTAACGAGTATATGCTTACTTATTTTATTCCAGTTTCTACAGAAGTATTATCTTGATGAAGATCGTTTTTCTATACCTCCTCAGTAATGGAATGTACTCACGCTTGTTACCCCTTCTGGATGAACATAGACCGCCCACCAGCACTGTCCTGGGCAATCATTTCCAGTTGCTATTCATCGTTTTCATATCTGCTTCCTATTCCTGATGTAGTGTGTTCTTCGGCCTTCCTCTTTTTCGCTTACCTTTAAGATTCCAGGTTAGCACTTGCCTCGTAATGCAATTTGATGATTTCCTCAATGTATGTCCTATCCACTTCCAGCGACTTTTCCTATTTTCCTTTTCAGCTAAAAGCTGGTTTGTTCTCTCCCACAGAAGACTGTTGCAAACGATATCCGGTTGACGGACATTGAGTATCTTGCGTAGAAAATTGTTTATACATACTTGTACTTTCTTGATGATGGTTGTGGTAGTTTTTCAAGTTTCAGCTCTGTACAATAAAACTGTCTTGACGTTTTTATTGAAGATTATGTCTTTGATGTCAGTTGACAGTTGTTTTCAGTTCCATATTTTCTTTACATTTAGCAACGCTGTTCCTGCTTTGCTAATCCTACAATCTCGAAAAGAAATGGCACTCCTGGAATCGTATTGATCTCCAGTTAATTAATGATTAGTTTATTCTTCTTGACAATACCACCAATTAGTTAACAAATATGTTTAAAAGTTTCGACGTTTCTTTCATAGTAACCCTCAGTCGCTGTAATCATGAGCATTCCTAATGTTTAGTGCTTCAAATGTAAAAGACTGGTCGCATATACGTCCTCATCCCAAAGTTCACAAATTTAGTACACACACACACTCTGAAAGCAATCAAAATCTCTTGGACTAAGTACAGAGACGGGCTACTAAGTGAGTGTTGAGATTATGAAACAAATCTTACGAAGATGAACTCTGAAACTTCAGATTATCGTCGTTAGAGCTAGAACTCTATGAAAGTTAATGATAGATAAAACAAGTACTGGTGAGAATCGTCGTTCTATACCTCATCAGTAGTGGGATGAAGGTAGCTTCAAATCTGTTTGCTATAAAAATCACATTAGATAATTTATTATAAAAGTGAATTAGGGACTTCTCATGAAAATAATAAAACTGTTAACCTACAGGAGATCTATGGGTTTCGGCAGTTGGTGTGGTTATGACATAAGTAATCCTATTTATTTAGACATTCCAATATCATATAACTATCGGACCTGAAGTGAAAGTTAACACGATGGATTATACTAATGCATGTCTTCATTAATAACACAAACCTCCCCCAAACTTTCCATTTTCGTGTGTGTTCAGGTGATTTATCTACGAGTATGAGTTCTAACTGAACAGTGTTTGACGATGAAGATTTTCTGTTTCTAATAGTATAGTCGTATTCCAAAAGATGTGAGTGCGGAGAGCCAATGTTACTTAGTGGGAAATTGTAGATTGGATTTTGATTAACTCTTGGATAATTGTGATTGGAAACGTTAGGATTAATCAGTACTATTTAGGTGTTGGATTCCATAAAATGCAATTTTGTAGTTTATGGAATTTCCGTTCTACTGCCTAGATAAGTAGGCCTGACTATGTGTATATGAAATGGTAAATAGAAATAAAAAAAATATCTAGACTGAGATTAAGATGTACAACCTAAAATCCCTAGATAATGTGGACTAAGGGACTGCTAAATCAAGAAATGACATTTAACTTGAGAAAACCATAGCCGACTGAAATTTAAAAAGCACATCTAATTAGATGTGTTTCAGATCGTTGACAGTGATTTGTCAGCAATGGTGAACATGTATGGAAGCAGATCACATGCTTCCGAAGGTCAGGATGTGTTTTTCCTATTGTCAAGTAATTTTGTATGTAATATTTTGCTGTTTGTTTGTTCATACAAATCACGTCTTTATAAGACAAGTAGTGTATCAGAAAACTGTTAGTCGAGAATTTTTTTCGTCACCTATTTAGTGAGCCTTTCTTACTAGGGGAATCCACATAAATTTGTCTAAATATCTTCACAAATGCAGTGCTAAACATAGCTTGATCTTTATAATCATTTTCTACCACTATTTCACAGAATTGTGGTCGTCTATGGTATATCCATTTACTCAAACTGAGCAAGAATGCAAATTGTTGTTTCACTAATTGGTGTTTTCAATGATACATGTGAAAGCAACACCTGTAATTATGAAACAATCCTCTTAGTTGGACTACATTTGTGCATCTGAGAAATTTAAACTCGGAATAAAACAGTGGGAACTAATTGACTGTAATTAGTTCAATAAATGAAGACATTTTTCAGTTGAATTATGAAAAGCAAACAGCAGTTTTAACCGCATTATTATAAAGGGTGCTTTGAACTTGGTGGTACATCATCTTAATTCTTGTTTCGTATTGTAGTTATTTATTACAAACAATTCCAAGGTGTGACTCTGAGAGTTAATTCACTTTAACTACTATGTCTCCGTAATATAATAAACATAATCAAAATAATAGTCAAATAATCTTTATTCACTGAAGCATACCAGATAGACAATAGAAAAAGCTTAAATACCGATGACTTATATACTCTACTCATTCAATCTGTTGTCCTTAAATTATCTGCAGGCTAAATTATAACAATGCTTTATTAAAATATGACAGATATGAATTGTTTCAGTAAAGAGCCATTGTTGGATTAAATAGAGCAAGATATCAACGACCTCTTATAGAACACCATTTTGTATTGTCCACTTATGAAGTCAACCTAAAACATTGTTATTTTTAATCACCTGGTTACCAAATTGTTAGTTTTTTTATTTCAGTTAAGGACAACTATGCAAGTAGTACAGTGTATCACAGTCCACTCTCAGGTTCACATCATACTTTCAGTTCACTATCGCCCAAAATACTAAAAACTTGTTAACATCATTATATTTTTGGTCAGTATGTAGTAATAATTGTTGCTATTGGAGTGTTTTGTTGAAAAATCCATTCATATGAGAAATATGTGGATTGTCAACAGGTTTCGTTTGTTATTAGGGATTAGAATAAATAGATGTAACTACCTAGAATGCCGTGACTGTATTCTGATTGGCTGAAACGATTACATATTTTACAACTATTTCAATAAATTCAGTTTTACTTGGAATTAATTTAACTACCGACTTAAATTAGTAAAATCATCCAAAAATATTTTAAACAAAGTTCAACCCAATAGTTTCACCACCATCATCATCACCTTCGTTTTACTTACATTTTCACATTCATACATAATGATCCTCTATCAAAGAATTTCAACAGATTTGATCATTATACTGATTCATACTGTTTGTAAGTTGATGAATGATTGTTTAAGTATAAACTAATATATTGCATTCAGTAGCTCATGGATCATTTGAACAATCCACTAAATTGTGTGAAAATAATTCATCGTAAGTCTGTTGGAAGATGATTGATGGTTTATAATCATAGTCGTGATGTTATATTTTTCTCTTTAAATGTTTCTTTGATTGATAGTTGAAAATGTACGTATAGTATATATATGTGACAAATACTGTATACTGATAACTCTACTGTAACACAAACTTAAAATTATACCTTAAGTACAATTCGAGTTTACTTTGATCTTAGGATTGGAGGATATTGTTAGGTTACATTCATAACATCCGTTTTATAATTTGCTTCAAAAACAGGGAAACTGATTGAAGTACACAGATAAATTTTGGGGTATCATTTTTAAACTGAGATCTGTGATTGAAGGTTCCATAACGATTTTGGCAATCTTATTAAAACATAGTTTAGACATATAAATACCTTCATATATAAAATGTAGGCTGTGGACAGCAGATTATTCCGTGTAAAATCAAACAAAAGAAGCATTACCCATTGGAGTAAACATTTTCTGTAATTAATAGAAAAACAAAAATAAGTCACAGTATACTGGGGTTGCATATTTCAAATGATAATTCTAAACTATGAGTATTTTTGTAAGGAGCCTTAAATAAATTGACATGATTTTCAATACACCTTTTAATAATCAATAGTGTTGAATATCATCCAGCTGCTTAGTCTCAAGGTTTAACGTGATTCTATCTTTTTAGAAAAAAACGTTTTACGAACTGTTGATAAGTAAAGTTATGAAATCTAAATTTCTTAGTGTAAAGGTGACACCTAGTTGATCACGAGTCCTCTACAAACATTATTACTTTATCTTAATATACGTACCATGTACTTTTACATTTTACTGACTCCTCTGTTCTGATATATAGTTAGTGTGGACATTTATCTGAACTTAGCGGTAGTCAAAATGTGAGCTAAATACTCTTTTCTGAAATGTTCCACTAATTAGTCACATAA